TTTTTTTTGGTTTTTCTCCGGTACCGGGAACCGAACTCACGACCTTGCGCTTGCCAGGCAGGCGCTTTTGCCGCTGAGCTAAATCCCCAGCCCCTCACCTGCTATATTTCTTTAGCAACCAGTTTTAGACACATAACTGAAGTGTAAATACCATATCCCTCTATCAATAGCCCTAGGCCATCCACAGATCACCCTTCCCATTCATTTATGATGAGAAACAACAGCAGTTTGTAGGAGCAAAAGAAAAGCAAGATCTGCATGTTGCAGAGATGGAGTGCTCTGTATTTCTGGGAAGTCCAGGCTTTGGTAATCAGAGGAGATCGTGGGGTATGATGTGTATCTTTTGTGGTTTAAACTCAGTACTTGTTCAGCTCTTGCGTGTCTACAAAGCATACTAAATTCTTCATTTAGATTTTCCTTGCACATTCCAATCTGGATAACTTCAATTGATAGAAGAAAGGCAATAATGCTACATAAGTACTTGCATTTCAGGTAGAGAGCAATAGGTTAATTAGAACTAAGAAAACTTTGAACTCCAAAGGATTCTTTTTTTGTCTTTTTGAGACAGGGTCTTGCTATGCAGTTCAGGCTGGCCTTGAGCTCACTTTGTAGCCCAGGCTGGCCTCAAACTCACAATGATCCTCCTGCCTCAGCCTCCCAAGTGCTGGGATTTCAACTTCGTGCCACCACGCCTAGCTTCCAAAGGATTTTTTGGAAAGAGCAATTTTGACTTGGGACATGATCTATTAATAAAATAATTATAACTTACATCTATTCCAAAGATATAATATATCAAGCTCTGTGTCGAGCTTATTACATGCTCATTTAATCCTCACAACTACAAGAGATCCTCTTGTTCTTACTATGGAGAAGATAGGAAGCTGAGGTTTGCGAGGTTAAGACATATTTCATGGCTGAATTCTCACAGCTGCACATGGTATAGCTAGGAGTCACCTCCAGGTCTGACCACAGCATCAGACTGAATATGTCCTTTCGCTGTATGAGGTCTAGAGTGAGCTTGGTATCATTTCAGTAGGTTTTGAGTGCATGCACCAGGCCCATGCTACCTTGGGGTATGTTAGATCAGGCCCCATTCTGGACTAGACTCAAACTGCGCTCCAGTTCAGAGCTATAAATATCCCTCCACTTCCTTCCAGAAGCCCCGTTATTCCTACGTGAGTGCCAGAGTAAGCGTCCCGTTCCAAGGTCCATGCGTCGCACCTCACTGACAGGGGTGCCATCTTGTGCCACCTCCCTGACGGCATGCATTACTGTGTAAAAATATCTTTTGAGTAATTTGGATAAAGAAACAGTGGACTAATTCCTAATAGCCTTGTGAAAAGATGATTGAGAATGTCTTAAAAGTTGATAAAATACGTAGTTTTCAAATTGCCTGTTAACAAACGTACAGTCATATTATGTTTAGAATAATATTGATGTAATTGTGTTCTCTGGATATAAGAGCTTTCAAAATATAAGAAAATCTGATTTTTATATAATAGATTCAAATGTGTGGACCTATGTCAAAGTCTCAGCTTTTTAACTAATTAACTTCAAGGTTATGCAGGGTTATTGGCATGTATATAAAGTTCTTTCCTTGCAGTTAGGGGTAGCTCATATAATAGAGGATTTGGTATTCAAAGTTTGGAGCAAAAACAATAAGTTTAGACACTGTGCTATCGTCGATGTCCTGAAGACTCTGTAGCCCATGACCTTTCAAGAGAAAAAGATCAAGAATTCACACCTAGTCTGCTTAACTAGTAGGAACACCAATTATACTGTCAGAAAAACATAGTGAGGTGGCTGGGGATTTAGCTCAGTGGCAAAGCGCCTGCCTGGCAAGCGCAAGGTCGTGAGTTCGGTTGCCGGTACTGGAGAAAAACCAAAAACAAAAGAAAAACATAGTGAACTTGAGTGAGGGAACAGCACCATCTTCCACAGCTGGGTTTGGATCTGGGGAGGATGTACCACTACCTTCTAGGCCTAATCACTTCTGAGATGTGGCTTCCATTCTCCTGATCAAACAGCAATAACAAGGACAAAACAATATACCACATGAAGATAGTTTTTAGTTCCAGAAACACATTTTAAAATTGAAAGTGGGGTTTCAATTCAGAAGAGAAGAACCATGCTAGTGAGAGGTATAGTAAATGAAAAGCTTTGTGCTCGACTTGCTTAAGAAGACTAGAATTTTTCATCATATAATATCTGAAGGCAGAACAAACATCCATGGATAAAAGCATAAAAGCCAGAAAAAGTTATAGCATTGTCAGATCACAGCCAACCGATAGAATGATAGCAAGCACTGATTTGTGAATAAAATAAGAGAAAGAGAAAGAAAGAAAGAAAGAAAGAAAGAAAGAAAGAAAGAAAGAAAGAAAGAAAGAAAGAAAGAAGAAAAGAAGAGCTGAGAATGTAGCTCAGTGCAGATGACTTGGGTTCAATCCACATTATCCTAGAGAAAGAGAGAAAGAGACACAGAGAGAAAGAAAGAAAGAAAGAAAGAAAGAAAGAAAGAAAGAAAGAAAGAAAGAGAGAGAAAGAGAAAGAGAGAAAGAGAAAGGAATAGGAAATAAGGAAAAATAAAAGTAAAGAAAGGAAAATAAATCAACCTCCCATTTGCAAAAAATGGATAAGAAAAATGTATAAGAATCCAGGCTAGGGAACTGCTATAGGATGAGAAATTTAGTTTTTGCAAGAAATATGAACAGAAAGAGAGGTCAAGGTAAACTATAGATGAAATGAAGCATTAGAAAGGGCAACCTGTCACAATGTGTGACATTATTGTGCCATGAGGGAAACAACCCTAAAACAATTCTGATGAAATCATTGGAAATTTGACACACTCTACATGTTTCATGACATTAACCAATTGTCACTCTATTTTTAGTGGGATGACCATACTGTGGCTTTCTTTTAAAACTACTTACTACTTGAAGATACCTACCCAGACACATATGGGTGAGATAAGATACTTGCATCCTAAATGATATGCCAGAGGGGAAAGTAGATGATGTGAGTGGGGCCAGACTGGGGCCAATGATGGGAACACGAGGTTCCATTATAATATTCAGTCTAGTATTGTGAATATTCAAGGGTTTCCATAACAATGGTTTTTTAAAAAGTGAATTGATGGTTTAATTAGCATTTACTTTTCATGAAATACCTAGGTTGGTCAGTCCATTGGCCACCGATTTTATTTGAGAGTGCAAATTATCCCTTAAATTGAACAATCCGTTGTTAATGATGCAAACCAAAGATGTCTATATTAAAAGGGTACTGAAATATAGTTGATATTTGCAAGAACACACTAAGAAATCCTTATTTTAAAAATATATCCATTATAAGCTGCAATCCAGAGGTTTGTTCTATTTCATTTTTCAAATTTACTGGTGATGTTAGTTACCAAGAGTTGCTTTTAAGGTAGTGCCTGCAAAATCCCAATAAAATTTAAAAACCTAAACAGCCAGTATAATGCAAAAAAATAATTTTAAAAAGTGCTGTGCCAAAACTTGTATTTATTGGCAAGGTATTAAACAACAAGTTCTTGGATAAATATCTTTTTAAAATATCATAAAAACTAAAAAATAAGGTTTCACAGAAGCCTGATCCATCTGAGTCCAAAACTTCTCAGTCTTCTTTACTACACTTAAGTTGAATTTAGATAAAGATAGGAAAGCAGATTGTGAGAAACAGTGATGTATGATTTGTTGAAAATCACGGGGAAGGATTTATGCAGAACTTAGACAGGGCAACATTTAAAAAGTACTAAAGACAATTGCCTTACAAGTGCCAGCAGTGGGAGGAGACTGCCTCCAATTTCTGCATTCTTGCCTTCCCTCAAATATAAATGTGACACAGCAGACAAGGCAGTGGAAACAAAGTGAGTGGATTATGAGTCATAGACCTTGGTTCCAGCCTGGGTTCCAATTCTTTTCTATACAGGGTCTGGAAAGAATGAGTTGGCTTACAGTGGGAGGCACAAATTAGTGGATAAAACTTCATTAATTGAGAACAATATGATAAAAAGGAATTTCTTTCAAGTTTTTACAGAAGCCTGTTACTGGGCAAATTAAGTTTTTTTTTTTAAAGATTTTAGTTTATTAGTATATATTTGCAGTACATAATGCTGGCATGCATCTTTGGGGTAAGCACATGGACTTAACACATTTTTTTATCCCCTTTCTCTTCCCCTCCCACCTGTTTTCCTCTGTCTCTGGATTCCCATCCTATTTGCAAAAGATCTGTCTGCAAGGCATCCGTGATGCAAAATCTGTAAGGAAAATGATGAGAAAATATATCTTTGTGTGTCAGCCCTAGCCGAGTTCATTCCATTTGGAAGCTTTTTCTTGCAGCCTTTGTTACTATTTATAAGAGCGATTTTTTTTATTCCCCACTTTACCAGCATACAGTACCCACGGAAAATGTGCTGTTTATCTGTTTAAGTGATGCTTAATTTTTACCTGCTTATATTTGGTCTTCATTTTTACTGTAATTTCAAAATTATGCTATTTTTACAACATAAAGATGAATGGAGACTATTGAGCTATTATTCTAAAGGCTCAGGAATCTTTAGAGATATAAAGCCTCCCGTGCTGTTTGCATACATTTTTTAATCAGCTAACAATATTTAATATTAAAGAAATATAAAGCAGGCAACTAACCAATTTTAAAAACATCAACGTCGACCTTTAAGTTGAATATATCACTTTGAAAAGATAATGCATAACTGGTTATGATTTTCCAGTTCAGCCTTTTGTTTTATGGGTCTGTTTAGTTGGAGTTCAAAGCCAGTATTAAAACATTTTTGTTTTCTTTTCTTCCTTCAGATAAAAAGAAGTCTTTTAGGGAGTACTTAGTATAAAAATATGCACACTGTCTAATATAACATATTTTGTTTTTTGTTTTTTGTGTTTTGTTTTTTTCCGGTACCGGGAATTGAACCCACGACGGTGCGCTTGCCAGGCAAGTGCTGTGACACTGAGCTAAATCCCCAGCCCCTAATATAACATATTTTGAAAGAATCAATTGGAGAAAATCTTCATCTAGCAACTGAATATTAATGTCACAGAATAATTCCAAAGGTATGGAGATAAGGCTCTGTCTGACTTAAAGTTCTGGGAAGATTCATTCAGGTTAAAATTTTGCTCTCCTTACTTGCTGCCTGCTCTGGGTAATTGCGTGGCACGCACACTTTCTGATAGGCAGTGCTTAGTTAGTGCCACATAAACATGCACTGCCCCAAGGGGAGGCTGTGCAAAGGTAAGGGAACTTCCTGGTCCAAAGAGATAGTAATTTCCACCTTCAAAGGAAGCCGAGTGAGTGTCCGTGGCAAATGTGTTTAGAATAAAGTCTTGCTCTGCTCTCTCCAAGTTGTGCTCTCTACACATCAAACATCTTCACATCTCTGCGCCCGAAGTCAAGCTGTCAAGGACACACAGAATTTACAATTTTAAGAGATGCTTTGGTATGTAAATGAGCTCTTTCCTCCTAAACCGAAGAGTCCACTTCACAGTGCACTTTCCATATTACAATCAAATATATGCAATTTGGATATTTTCTCAGTGGGTATCTGTGGGAAGGGGCTGACGCGTGGTCCTCTCTCAAGCAAGTTGAAGACAAACTCTTTTAACCTAAAATACTGAGATGATTTGTATTCAGCAGCCTGCTCCTCATAAGGGAAGCGGGGTTTACTTACACTGTGCAGGGCTGGAATGCATTGAGACAAACTGGTTTCCGTCTTTGCAGCCCCGTGCTGTGTGTTTCTCTCTGACACAGGTTCCTGAAAAGCTGAGGAAACACAAAGGATGTGGAAACTCTTAGTATTTCACATTTTATTTTAGTCGCGTCAAGAGTGCAGGTGAGTCAGAGGATAAAAGAACCAGGTTTCCATTTACTTAGACTTTCAAAATTATATTTTTAGCAGGGCTTCTCTGGAAAAGTTATGGTTGACTTTTAAAATAAAAGCATCACGTGGTTAGCAGAACTTTCTGCTTGAGGTAAACGATTTGATAGGACGTCAGCACCAAAAAGATAAATATAAACGGGCAATTCTTTGATATTCAGTACTGGAGTTATTATGCTAGACCTCCCCCCCCCGCTGGTTCTTATTTAACATATGTAATTGCCTTGAGGGAAAACGGGTGCACGACAGGATGCATAGGTGGCCGTAGCGTGGTACAATGCCGAGTTGGTGAATTTAAACCTGCAGAAATAGTAGTCATTTTTTAATGAAAGGCAAAATACCTCTATCTGAAATAGAACCCAAGTTTCTACCTGACAGCATTAACAGTGTAGATGTAGACTCATAAAGCAGTGAGTACTGACAGCAGTTCCTTAGAATTTAAAATTTTAGTACTTTTTGTGTGTCAGTTGAGTGCCCGACAATAACACAAAGGTGAACTGCGCGAGGCCTCCGCCCGCCTCTAACGTGATGGACTGAACTGCAGTCAGAGGGCGCGCAATGCAAGGGTGGGAGGGAAGACGGACAGGTTTAAAACTAAGTGACTGCAGTTTGGGAAATATGAGTGATGCAGACGGCAGTAAAATAATCGCACGGTGTTCTTCAGTCTTCTGCTCCGTGAGCACACCTTGAAACCTGTCGAAAGTCCCTCCAGGAGCGAGGAACGTGCTAGTCTTGTGACAGGTCCTTCGCAGTGCACCTGATGTCCATCAGGAGAGGCGTTGGTCAAGGAGCGCAGAGAGCACGAGCAGGCTGGGTCAGTGTGGAGGGGAAGGAAAGACAGACCGCAGGTAGGCAGCGTCTCAGGAGGACCAAAATGTAGCATTAGCCTGGCAAGCAGTGGGCAGAAATCCTGCTCTACATACGCTCTCTTTGTTGATTCTATTGCTAAAATGTTGAGATAGCCGGCTGGCTGAAGCTGCCCACTTACGTTAAAGTGGTTGTTTGCTACGGCCAGTCCCTCCTTCTCAGTCCGCGGATGAGTGCTGTCGTCGGGTCAGACCTCCAGAGCCTCTTCCCAGTACGTGTGCTGCTCCGTTCGGAGTGCACATAGGCGACACCATTTCCCGTGTATGGAGACGTTACAGCCTGACACTCTCAGGACAGGCGGCCCCTAAATCCTGTTCTGCAGCTGAATAATGAAAAGTCATCTGTTGGAGAAAAACAATTGTCAGTGTTGTTCTGAGCACTATGAAAACTGGTGTTATCCAGTTTTCATAGCCTATGAAACACTGCACTAAGCCTTGAAGAAAGGCAAGAGCTTTCAGGATGTTAGGAAAAGCCTTTTATCCACGCAAGGGTGAAGAGGCACGGGTCAAAGAAGAGGCGAGCAGAAAATTACTAAACGTAGCCGAAATGAGTAGATTAAAGCAATCAGTAGCAGAATTCTCTAGGGACTTCTTCACAGCCGTTGAGAGTTATGTTAGAAGTAATGGTTCTGACACTTGCCAGGAAATTTTGGCTATCCCTTGAATTAGGCAGAACATGTTTATCCACTCAGTATTTGCCCAGTTTCTTTGAATTTGAAATGCCTTGTAGGTTACAAGGCTCCTTATAACTGTCACTTGCTGTGGGTTCCGCTTTTGAATGACATGGGCTTTCCTTACCCAGGCACTTGGGACATGCAATTTTATTTCCTTTCCATCATTCTGTCTTTTACCCCTGGATAGATAGGAGCAAAATTGCTGACACCTGGAAAGATATCCACTCACTTACACATTTTTTAAATATATTTTTGGTAATTGCTTTTGCTGGTTATTGTTTTAATTCTACAATGTAAACAAATGCAATTATAGATAAAAATTGTAAGGTGGATTCCTTGATTTCTCATCATTCACATTTAAAGTATGTAACATTTACACATATGAAACAATTAGGAAATGAATCAATACAAAAACACATAAACAAGTAAGTCATTATGAGAAATGACCATGAAACAAATCCAAGATGGAAAACGAAAACTGGGGTGGATTACAGATTGTCACAAAGAAACAGAATTTAAGCAAAGATTAAAAGGATGTTTCCAAACAGAAGAAAAGAGCATAAATGAAAAATTAAGTTTTATTAACATCTCTAGAGTTCCAAAGTTCTGGGTTAATTCATCAAACAATTATTCTGTATCTTTTCACTAAATTAACACCTGGTTCTTAGGCCTTTATGAACAAAGCTAGAGGAGACATACTGGCATTTGGAATGGGAAAATTTGTAATGGCCTTTCCTGGTGATTTCAAGATAATTAATAGCAGATAGTAATCTCTATAAATCTGACTGCACTGATGATCTCCGACACTTTTCTTAGCGATGCTAAACTACACCCTAGTGAACCACCAGAAAATATACTGCAAAGGTAATCATAGATGCTACAGGCTAATTTGAAGGAGCTGGGATCAAATTACTCAACAACAAGAAATTCTAAGTTTAACAATTTTCCAGTTTTATATGCAAGATTCTTTTTAGGTGGATAGAAGGGATTCAGATGGGTGGGAAGGTCATTTTAATATTCTCCAATCCATTACCAATTTAGAGTTAGTACATCAAGTGTGGCCATCTAATTTGATGAATAGAAAGTTATTTGCCCTAGAATGAAATATAATTATATTTGTCTGCCTTGATTTGCTACTTATAATTATATAGTAGACAGGAAAAAAAAAAGATACTGGGTTGAAAGAAGTGTAGGGCAAGGAGACTTGCAGGCTAAAGCCAGTGACACAATTCCCCCTTGAGAAACATCAGTGAAAGGAGGTGGCTGGCTTTCCATGCCCTTGAGCTAATGAGCTAGAAGCGTAGTATTGTGGCAGCATAATTTGAGAAGAGGCACAGGTGGAAGCAGCCCTGAGGGGTAAACTGAAAGCCAGTGCTTTGCAAAATCATCTGATGCTGTTTTATAGAGGTGAGACAACAGACATGAGGGTGGACTAAATTTCCTGACTTACTGGTCACCTTATATTGTGACGTGTTAAGCTCTGTCTATCTAGAGTAGTTCCAGTGTTCTTTAACTTTCTGTGGCACTACCACAATGACAAATGTGTCTTCAAAACACCCAGAAACTCACTGAAAGTTAAGTCATTAGGTAACAGTGACCCAGCGTCCCAAACGCACCAGAACTCTATCTACAAATGTGAAACAAGTTAGAAAATTTGAGGGTCATTGGATAACACCATCCCACTCGGTCTTCAAGGGATGTCATCCATCCTCCGTCCCACATTGCATGAAGTCTTGCTAGTCACTATAGCTTTTTTAAAATGTGATTTTAATTAAATTTTATTAGTGAAGGTTTGCAGTACTTCATGATTACACGGATTACGGGGAGTTGGTACATGGTCGTAACACATCTTGATTCTTTATTCAAAACCCATTTTAAATACTTCTTTGAAAAATACAGACCCCGAAAGGCACATCAGTCGCATACACTTGGTAGCATGTAGAGAGAGCAGTAACGCACTTGCTAGCCACATAAGCCGCCCCTCGGCTGGGCAGGGCACAGCGTGGTCTCCTCGAAAGCCGAGCCCTAGCTGCCTGCCCACACGGGCTGTCACTCTGGTGCTGCTTCTCAATCCGGCTCCTTCCTCTAGTTGTTTCCAACTTGGGAAAAATATTCCACCTTTGCAGGTAACAGTTTTCTTGCTTTGCCTTGTAGTTCTATGAACTTTGTGTGAGAGACAATGAAGCTCAGTTCTGCCAAGCTTGTTCTTCCTGTATATGGAACAACACACCATGGACTGCTCTGGGTTTTGCTGCACTGCTCAGCACTCTTTGCAGGAGGCACCTGCTTTCAGCATGGCCGCAGGTAGCGGTATTCCTCCTGCTGTGCAATGTCCCACTGTAGGAAACCGTTCATCTTCTGGCAAAGGTTTGCTCCAGTGAGGGGCCCGTATGAAGAACACTGATGTATTCCGTCTGCTTCTTTATAGTTTTAATATTCCTTGATCTATCAAAAATACGTATTTCTTTCACAGAACTACATCATGTGATAAAAATGTACAGTCGGGGGCTGGGGATTTAGCTCAGCGGCAAAAGCGCCTGCCTGGCAAGCGCAAGGTCGTGAGTTCGGTTCCCAGTACCGGAGAAAAACCAAAAA